GTGTGAGTGTGAGTGAGTGTGTGTGTGTGTGAGAGTGTGTGTGTGAATGTGTGTGTGTGAGCGTGTGTGTGAGCGTGTGTGAGTGAGTGAGTGAGTGTGTGTGTGTGTGTGAGCGTGAGTGAGTGAGTGAGTGAGTGTGTGTGAGCGTGTGAGCGAGTGAGTGTGTGTGTGTGAGCGTGTGTGTGTGTGTGTGTGAAATTGTTGCTTTCTCTGTGAATCAGAGCCAGCAGACAGCAAACCCTGTGTTTGTGTTTAGAGGAAATTGAGTCTGAAATACAGCAGGATGTCGTTCTACATGTTTGCAATAACAAGGCATTGGCTACATAATTCAATTAAAGTCTGTGTGTTCAGTCGGAGCAGCTGACAGTAACATGCAAACCTCACAATCAGCTCAAGTTTGACCGTTCAGACTCTCTTTCCCGTTATTGTGCAGGGCTCCAGACTGCGACCATTTTTTCTGCCGGTGCGACTAATTTTTGTGAGCGGTCGCACTGGTGCAACCACCGCATTGTCCAACTCGTAAGCACTGTTTATACTTATTTAATTGTGTACTTATTTATTTACTTATTAATTTCATTTTTTTGCTTCATTATGTACTTAATATTTACTTAATAATAAAGGCATCAAAACACACAAATGCTAATCTCATGTCACTCATACTCTTTCTTCTTGCATAATAAAATCTGTTTACTTACTAATTATTTAATTATTAATTTCGTTATTTGATTATATACTTATTTTATGATTCACTTATTTAATTATTTCATTGTTTTATTTCTATACTTATTTATTTGTTTAATGATGTACTTATTTATTTAATTAATTATTAATTACATTTTTTTTTTTTTCTCAATTTTATACTTATTTCATTGTGTACTTATGTATTTATTTACTTATTTATTCATTATTTAATCATTTATTTACTTATTAATTTAACTGTTTTATGTACTTATTTATTATTCACATTTAATTATTTCATAATTTTATTTACTTATTTGTTCAATTATATACTTTTTATTTACGCATTAATTTCATTTATTTGCTTTTTTTTTTACTTATTTACTTATTTAACTGTTACATTTTGTACTTATTTAATATTTACTTAATATAAATAATAAATGAATATTTAAATAATAAATAAATATATAAATCAGTAAATATTTATTTATTTTACTTTCTAATAAAACTGGCATTGTGTACTGTGAATATTGTTGCCTTTGATGAATTGCAGCTGATGTTCTTCATTTGTAAGAGACTTTGGATAAAGGCGTCTGCTCTATGCGTGAATGTAAATGTCATGTGTTTGTTTGTTTGTTTATGTGATATGTAGTTGTGTAGTAGTAAGCGGGATGATGTTGACTAAGCAGCTGACGGCACGTTATTCCACTTCCAGACATTTACATGGTTTTCCCAACTATAAAGTAGGCTACTTAGCTTGTTGCATTTACAGAAACATAGTAATACCGTGGTAGTTTTGGTGCTTTTTGAATGCAGATCTGTGAGTTCAGAAAGTGAGAACGCTTGAAATTTGTCAAGCATGAAGCAGTGAAGAAAGAAACGACACCCAGAAACCCTTAATCTGCTGCGTGTGTGTGTGTGTGTGTCTCTGTGTCTCTGTGAGAGTGTGTGTGT